TTTATGTGGGCTAGAAGGCACGAAGTGCCTGGAAGGTCACCCCAAGAAAAAAAAAACTTCATTATACCAATCATCCTCAGGGCTAGAAGGCACGAAGTGCCTGGAAGCCCCACTACCTTTTTTTTTTTTTTTTTTTTTTTTTTTTATTTAGTATTAATGAGATACATACTAAATGATTATAAACATTTTTTAGAAAAGTGAAAAATTCTTTTTCCTGTTTTTTAAATCGATTTATTAATACTCTGCATCTGTTGAATAATTTTCAAAAAAAAGAGGTAGGGCAACGATAGGTCAAAAAGGCTTCTCTGATAGATTTCCTTGCCTTTTGGATATGCTATAATATATAGCCTAGCATGATAGGATATGATGTCAAAAGTTAGAACATAACTTAGGATCTTGAGAAAAATGAAAAACAAAAATTACATAAAAAAAGAAAAATTTTATCTAATTTGTTTTTTTGGACCGAATAAGTAATTTTATTGAATTTCAATACGACACATAGATTTTATTATTAGTAATAAATATAATGGTTTACTATAAACAGGAACCTAAACTAATGAAAATTTGATTTCAAATATTGTATATGATTATCATAGATTACCAAAATATATTGCTATTTATGAGGGTATATAATTGATTATTAGTAAATCGTATAAATTTAATAAATATACCATGAATATTGAATGAATTTCTTGATTCATAGGGGTAAAACGCGCTTGTATATGATTTAGACAGAGAATTTATGAGATGTAAATAACACAATAAAGGTTTATATTGAATATTTTCAAAAAATAAATCGAAATTATAAAAAACAATACATTTATTCATTGAAACTACTTGGACAAATATGAAACAAGCATTCAGGCAATACTTTTGAGACTTCAACGCATCTGATAATTTTTATATAACTTCACCTCTTATGCTTAGAGTGGAGGTATTGAGATCGTATAAGTATAGATGAGCTCACATTCAGATATGATGTGTGAACTTCTGTTTTCACTGCAATTTTGAATCAGAATAAACTCAAAACAAGAATAAAATGATATACTCACTCTCTAAATGTGTTCGATATTTAAAGTTGTATGAATAAAACGATTCATCTTTCGAAGCCTCCCATTTAATGAGAGACTTCGAAAGATGAATGTATTCATGTAGATGAAATACTATATATGACCATGTGTGATACTAAAGATATCAAAATGTTCATTTTTAAGTGCAATAGAAGGGTTATCTCTCGTAAAATCTCAATTTAAGGAAGATTTAGAAAGAACTCCTTTCCTAAGTAGATAGTGTGTGGTTTCTGTCTTTTGGTTGATCAGGAACTATGAAATTAAGTCGGACAGAAAGAAGTTCTTTCCAAAACAGACTCCAAATGAGTTGTTCGAAAAGAACTTCCTTCTGTATATGGATAATTGTAGTTACCGCACTGAAGTATGTGATTGTGATGATGGAGTTCTCGATAAATCTAAAATCGGATTAAGATTAATTGAAAACTCAAGTAATTCTTTGAAATCTTGTGTTGTCTGGCACTATAATAACCAAAGAATGAGAATATTATGTTGAATGATGAGTACGTGTGCTCGGCATTCGCCAAGCGAATTGAGTTTAACGTACTATGAAAAGTGACAAATTTGGGCTTTTTTTCCTAGGGTTATGATCTCTTCCTTTCTGCTCAATACGACAGAAATGAAAGAATGAATTTGTACTCCCTAATTGATTACTACAATCTGTATCTATCTTTAACATAGAATTAGCTGCATTGTGATTTATACTCCAGAATTATTCAATTTAAGATCAACCTCGTAAATTTTAATCATATTGCACCAATACTCCTACGTTGAGATAAGAACATGATTATACATACCAAAGCCCCATATTAAAAATCAAAATTTAGCACCTCCATTATGCAACCACATTATTCGTCGCAAATAAGTATATTTACGCATATTATGATGCATATTCACACAACTCGTATACATGAAAAGTTATTAAAATCAGACAAAATTATTGCAATAAGGAAAAAAAAACAACTTTATTATATATGTTAGTAATGAATTACAAATATTTCTACAAAGAATGCTCAATACTTCATATAATCTTCGAATATTTCTTATTACAAGTTAATACATTTTGACTCGAACATGATAAACAAAAGCTGACACACTGATTACTACATTTATGAAAATATAGTACGTTTCCATTCATCTGTTTACTTGTTTTTGTTGGAATAAAATCATTTTTTTTTTCTTTCATGAAATAAGAATTTTGCTGCGAAAGCAATATCTCTAACAATAATTAATACATTACGTCAACTCTGGAATGAGTATTTATCAAATATGATACCAAAATCAAAAATTAGTTGTTTTTATGAGTAAAAACGATGTAAATTGATTATTTGACTAATTATCAAATACTTTGATTTTCCAAATTTTTTTCGAAATTGATTTTTTCATGTGAAAATTCAATTGTTTAATTTCATTTTTGAAATTTTGAATTTTTTTTGGAATTTTGAGTTGATCAATTCAGCAGAATTTGATAATGCTATTGCTTTAGGGCATACCACAAGGTGATGAATAAAAGGTGAACATTAACAAATTATTTTAAATCACAAATATCATCCTCATCAACTTTAATTCTAAAAAGAACTGTACTGAATTATGAAAATGCATGATTTACATTATTAAAATCTTTGAATGAAAATAGTACAAGATAAGTTTTTATTCATTTTTAATTAATTTAAAAACTACTCCATATTAAAAAGTCGAGAAATCGTATTTTGTTCTTATTTGTTTAGCATTTTGTAGACATTCTAATCTTGAATTAATTTGTTACATGATATTATTAACAAATTTAACTGAAAAAATATGTTAATATGGATATAACCTGATATTAATAAGCTATCAATGCTATATATACATATGTAAAAGATATATTAACTCAATTACAAAAATGATAGATTTTCATAAAGGTTCAAACTAGGTTCGTCCGAAAATTTTGATTTTTTATAGAAGACATAGTTTCATATACATAATTAAATTTTCAAACAAATTTGATCATACATTTATTAAGCAGGATAGTATTAATTACTATCAGTATAAAAATATAAAATGATTATTTTAATTATTGCATAATTTAGTCAAAGAGTTATAAGCCTCAAGTGATCGTTATCACCTTCAATGCACGTATACTTTATTGATTCATAGATATTTAATCTATGTTTGACATGTTGTTGTCGACATTCGTTTTGTTTTCTTCTCCTAAGTTAGAATTAGAGAATACACCATCCACATCATCTAATTTGGTCCTTAGCGATAGATTGGCTCATTTTGGAGGAGTCCCATCAGACAGTTTTCGAGCACCAAATATCAAATTTTAATGTATACAAATCTTTAGTGATTTATCTCTTTTATGATGAGTAAAAGGTTTCTGTTCATCAACTTTTGATTTCCGACATATATGATTTCTAATTGCAATTATTTACTTTCTTTTTATAATCTAACTCTGTGACTCATACCATAAATTAATTATTGGAAAGTGTCAATATGTTTGGCACAACGCATGGCGGAAGATACCAAACCATGCAGGGAATATGATACGTTTAAGATCTCCGAACTTTTTTTCCAAAAATTTTCTATCGTTGCCCTACCTCTAATCAAAAAACATTTCACAATGTGATTAAAATTATGAATAGTTGCTAATTGTGATGAGTTAACTATATTTTTATCATTTTTATCTCAAATATCTTTGCATTTTCAATGTGGAAATTTTGAATGTGTAAACGATAATATTTCAATTTGTGTGATTGGATTATTAATGAATAATTATTGTATGAAGTCGTTATATTATATTCCGGAATTTGATTTTTTACGATAGGGTTTACACTAACAAATCAGCTTCTCAATTTTTAAATCAATACTAAAAATACGAATAAATGAGCTAAAGCGTATGATTTTCATAACTTATATTTTGTTGTTTTTCAATTGACAAGCAATTCAATGAGTTATTTATGCTTGACTATTACTGCCTTTTCAGAGAGGTCGAACATCAACCAATTTTTCAGCTTTCAATTCTCATATTTTTCTTTCATTTTATGATTGTCTTATCGATGTTTGAATATTATCCGATCATCTTTATGATAAAAACATCCTACATTTAACCTATTGAATTGTCATAACATTGGAAATTTCATTTGGTCGATAGATATCTTTTTATATTGTTATTCTCCATTTATTAATGCTTCCAAGCAAATGATCTCAAACACAGATAATTCTTGTATGCACGCTCACGTGATTTTCAGCTAAACTGAGATTCCTTTATTTTCTTCAAAAAGGTTTTACAATTTTTCTAAAGGCGAGTATATAACATTACTCATTTTCAAAGAAAAGACTTTATATTTCTACAAGCTTAAAATCAGGTTAAATATCTTATTCTTGTTGATAAAAATCATGAAAACTTAGTAAAGTAAGTAAACCGTTGAAAATCTCGTCATCGTTCAAATGATAAATGGATATTGAATGATGAGAAACTTCTTTTTACCATTTTGTAATAGCAAAATTGTGAATACTATCAATTTGAATATATTCTGAATGAATAATTCTAAAGCGTGAGATAGGATATACAATGATAACGGCAATTGTGAAAACAATATGATTTAATAATTATTTCTGGCTGTAGGAAGAAAACAAATATCAGTAAGCTCAATTCCTTCTCGACAAAAATGTAGAAATGTGTTAATAAGATACCGGCTTGCAAAGCAAGTTTAGATAAGTAGTAATGATGCAAACAAAAAAGAATATCAGATTGTCACTTTTCAAAAATTCAAAAACTTCTTCATTTATATTTATTTTGAGTTTCATTTACACATATTTATTTTTCAATGCAGGAAATTTGAATGAAAACTATTCAATTTGAATTTCACCAGCAATTAAATATCCATATCACTATTAGAAAACAGTTCATTTAGTTTTCTTCAAAATTTCAGTTTGTCAAATTTTTTTGTAATGTTTGCCCTTTTATCTCCACCGACTCCTGCAGCTATTGGAAAGATGGTTGGGTGCGGTGAAAATTTAAAAGGACCATTTTTATTTAATCATGAACATGATCCAGAACAACAAAACAGCCAAAGTACAACTAATATTTTGACTCCATTACCTCCTGAAAATCCAAATAGCACCGACAATATAGATACTGCTGATACACCAAACGATACTAATGAAAATGATACCGCTGAAATTCAAAATGATGCCGATGAAATTGAGATTGAAGAAAATCCTAATTCAGGCAATAGTAGAACCCAAAAAAATCACCAGGCTAATAATAAGAATCATCGTAAAAAGTTTTTATTTGGCAAAGCTGCCCGTACAATTCTACTTAATTGGCTTATTTCCCACCAGGCATATCCATATGCAAGTAAGGAAGATGTTATACAGCTTGCTATACAAACAGGACTAACAGAATTCCAAATCAAAAGATGGCTTATTAATGCTAGAAATAGAAAGAAAATTCTATTTCCTTCCTCGTCAAAGAAATCTTACAGAAAGAAGGGACAACACTCCAAAAGAGACTATTTTATCTTGCCAGGACCACCGAATTAAATTAATTGTTTTGTTTGTAGTTATTTTGCAATTAATTTTTATTGAACCAAATTGGTTTATATTAAATATATTGAATATGAATTTAGCTGCTATAGGGATCATATGTTTTCAGTTTTGTCATATAACTTATGGACAATTTATGAGATATTCATTCAATCTCCAAACTTTTGAAGAATTAAAGTTAACAAGTCATGAACTACAAGTCATTAACTTTTCTCAAGTATTCTTCCTAAATATATCAATCATAGAGAGACTTAACAAGAAATACACCTTATTCAATTAATTATACTTATTTTTTTGGTCACTTAGAACCATATATCAGTAGATGGGGTATTTTAAGACAAAATTCTTAAGAGATTTCTCATCACATTTAAGATCTCGGAATAACTTTGCTCATTCGAGTAATTAAGAACATATTACCTCTTGTATACTAGGTAGTGGTTGTAAGACTGCATCAAAGCAATACCAGATTAATGATATCCTTAAAAACACAATTCAGACACTATTTAGCTAACAGGATATTGTAGTTTGACTGAATAATGTATTTCGCATTTTTAGCATGTAAAATTCTTATTAAAGATAAAGTGGAAATTCTGATTCCGAATTCACAATCTGGTATAGATGAGGTAATCCATTGATCATTATATTTTTACTTTATGAGTAATTTCTGTGGTGATCCCTGCTATTGTACTCAATGTAGGATTTTTTGACTTCATCAAACTTCACTGGAAATTTCTTTTGCATTCAAAATATAAGACAGGATTTTAAAATATATTTTGTTGCATGCTAAGTTCGGTCAACGATAGAAATTGAGTGGAAATTAATCATCGAGGAAGTACGATTATGTAAAGTTAAAAAATGTTGTGGGATTTTTAATATTATATATTATTTTATAATAAAAATTTTTTGAGTCATTTTAAGAAGCACATATAATTTTTTGAATTTTAAAATTAAAGTAGTGTCAAACGAATTTATCACTTAATTTAATACTCAGATTTCTTAAAATTAATGAAAAAAAGGTTTTCTGAGAACTTTTGAGAATGGTTTTCAAATTCCATTATTGAAAATATATAGGTATTGTATGAAATTCAAACTCTATATTTATTAAAATTCTAAATTTTTAATAAAATAACTTTTCAGATCAATATGATTTTGAATGGTTGATTAATAAGTATAAAAATGTCTACGATTTTAAGGAGGGAATTGTTCCTTATGAGGTATACATCATAACTATATACCTCATAAGGAACAATTCCCTCTTGATAGCTGGGAAACTTTCTGAATAACTTATCATTTGGAGAAAGTTCCCCAGCTATCTATTAGGAACTAAAGGCTATGAGGCACTAATATATAATCAGTGCCTCATAGCCTTTAGTTTCCTATTAAAAACGAGAAAACTTGTTCGAAATGATAACAATTTCGAACAAGTTTTTCATTTTAAGGAGGGAATTGTTCCTTATGAGGTATACATCATAACTATATACCTCATAAGGAACAATTCCCTCTTGATATCCTGGATATTTTTGAATATATTTTTTTAATTAAAGTTCTCAAAAGTATTATCAAAAGTGATTTTTTAAAAATATCTCCAATTAATTAACTAATTAAAAGTATTATATTTTTAAAATTAAATAGTTTTTCAATTTTTTTGAAGGAATTGAGATACTTCCCACGACAATAAAATTGAGAGGTTTACATTATGACTGATCTTAGCATGCAACAATTTGAAGTTTTTAACAAAGGAACCAAAATTAGAAATTCCATTTTGAGAGGAAATTTTGCCAGAAAAATTTTCATGTCAAATTCAAAATTTTTAAAGTCAAATGGCTGATATTGTCGTTGCAAACAATGATGAATCGATGCTTCAGGTAGAAAATGCATTATCTGAGCCTTTGAACATAAATGTCGAGGTTTTAGAGGAAAATGGAGAGGAATATACTCCAAATGAAATCTCTGCAATTGATAAGGCTATTTCAGAACGCAATGGATCGCTTATAGAGAAACTCCTAAATGATGGATCTCCACTTACTCCTAAATCCTTCCAGATTGCCAATAAGGTGGCAGATAAAAACGTTTTGATTGTTCTTTCAGATAAAACGCAAGAAACAATCAAGAAAATGTACAAATCTCATAACTACATGGCATTCAAAAACAAACTTATCGACTTTTCTTCACATAATTTGTACATATTTGCGTTTAATGTAAGCCAAGCCAATTTTATTGCTGCAAGAAGACATAATAAAGCAGTTATCATCGATGCTGGTATACACAATGGCAAATTAATCAAGAAATACAAAGAAATAAATAAAAATTACCCCAAATTAATAGAAGAACTCAATCTTGTTTTGCAAGGCACAAAAGTAGATCTGGTCTTAATCACACATCCCCATGAAGATCACTTCTCTTTTCTTCCAGTTTTGCTACATAATTTCAAAGAATCATTCCAGAGTACAAAATATGTCTTTGGAGGTTACAAGAAAGATTATGAAGAATTAATTGAATCAATTGGGGAAGATAAAATAAAGTTCTTAGGATATAGTTATAACTCTAGAACTTACAGATGTCTCGATGGACTGGAAATAAAGATCTGGGGACAAGAAAATCCAAATATATATGAAATCAATCAAATATCATTTATTTCAACAATTCATATCAATGGTAGAGGAGTAATGTTTACTGGTGATGCAAATGAGAAAAATTTACAGAATTTGAAGATCGACATACCTGATATTCCTAATATAGCATCACATCCGGAAATTAAAACATTTTTGGTTGATATTCAAGCGACAATTAAAAGGTGTAGAGAATCTATGAAAAATGCCACTAAAATTGTATTTCAAAAGCTGAAGGAATTCATGGAAAAGAACAAATGTGATGTAGATCTTGAAGAAGCTATTCATCATATGCTAGGCCTTAAGGAAACGGTACTAATATTTGAACCACATCACGGTTCACTTGCAAATCATGACTTTTATAAATATTTTTCCGCTCAGGATCCTAAAAAAGTTTTTTGTATATCGAGCGATCCTAGGGGTAAAAGCCGCCTTCCTAATGAGGAATCATTCGTTGGTCGCGTAAAAGAGCCAAAAGTCAAAGAACATCCAGTTGTATACGCAACATTCGATAAAATACCTACAATGAACGTCACAACAGATCCTGTCTATACAACTGGTTCATGCTGTGACGGAATGCACGTTTTCTCTCTCTCCCCAGATGGAAATCTTTCTGTCTTAGATTTGACAGAAGAAACACCCGAATGGGAGAAATTCAATATAGATTATAGTTCTATGAATACAAACAAAGGCCCTATGAATACAAACAATGATTCTATGAATATAAGCAATGACTCTATGAATACAAGCAATGACTCTATGAATACAAACAATGATTCTATGAATACAAACAATGATTCTATGAATACAAACAATGATTCTATGAATATAAGCAATGATTCTATGAATACAAGCAATGATTCTATGAATACAAGCAATGATTCTATGAATACAAGCAATGATTCTATGAATGCAAGCAATGATTCTATGAATGCAAGCAATGATTCTATGAATGCAAGCAATGATTCTATGAATACAAACAAAGACTCTATGAATTCAAACAAAGACTCTATGAATACAAACAATGATTCTATGAATACAAACAATGATTCTATGAATACAAACAATGATTCTATGAATACAAACAATGATTCTATGAATACAAACAATGATTCTATGAATATAAGCAATGATTCTATGAATACAAGCAATGATTCTATGAATATAAGCAATGATTCTATGAATACAAACAATGATTCTATGAACATCAGTAATAATCCTATGAATAATTAGATGTACTATTGTTATAAATGGGTTTCTGCTTTCTAGAAAACCTATAATTAATGAAATTATTAATTAATTTCAATTAGAAACAGTTGTATACTCCACTAGAATAATAAACTACAGAAGGAATTAGCAACCAAATATATTGCATGCAGGCTGTTGGGATAAATCCAAGCAAATTTTCCAATTAGCTAATTTTACACTTAATTATTGGAAGAAGCATGCTGTAATTGAATATATATACAAAAGAACACACTATGTGTTACTCACAAGTATGATTATATTGAAAATACCACTTATTGTGAGTGATTTTTTTTAATTTTGCCTAGTATTATTAATCAGATAACAAAGCTGAAGTAATAATAATAGATCTGACAGAGTTTTTAGAAGATTAAACAATTTTTTTTTAATTTTATTTTTATCTTGTACAAAGCTCCGAACTTCAAAATCGAAGCCATGTTAATAGTTATGATACAATATTTGGAATATTAAATAAATTATTATAGAAGTACCATAAATTCTCATATACTATTGATATCTTTAATCAAATCCCCTAAATATGGTAAATATTGGTTTGTAGAGAATTTGCTGAAGGGATTTGAGATTATGATTTAAATTTCAAAAGCCCGTTAAAAGAAGATAGCGGCAACAATATGGAACATCGTCCCTACCAATGAAGCATGAAAGGATACGGTGGTCGAAGTATTATTATTGGATGCAAAGAGTCTTCGTTGCTTATGCCATTATGTTCAAAGGCTATTGAAAGTTTGAATAGTTTACGTTATTCTATGCAAAGTTTTGCAAAGATTTCTGGGGAAACTCTATTGAGATGTGTTCAATGTATTGGTAAAATTTTTGAGAAAATCTGATAAAGGGATATTGAGATCTGTGATACCAATATAAAAAAACGTGCAAAATTGCATAAAAAAATCATTGAAATGTGCGCCACGGTAATTTCTCCTGGTGTCACAGCATTTCATTATAAATTTCAGAAGACAAAAGCACACCTATCTGCTTCTGCTACACAGCCAATATTAAAACCACCAGATAACAACTCTTCAGAGGAAAGATTTTATAATTGTTCAAGTCTGTTTGATAAAATGATGCTGGAGATGAACAATTTACCATTTCATGTTTGCATTGAGAAATATCTACCTCAAATGTTTCACGCAAGCAAATGCATTTATTGGTATTTCAATGAAAGTCAAAAAACACTATATTCACCTACACTTGATCTCTCACTAGATGTAACCACAAGTTTACCAGGATTTGTTACGCAAACAAAATCAGTCATTAAAATTCGAAATTCCAATTCAATTCCTATGGGATACCAAAATGATCCAAGGATATCTGAACCAGGATCTCCACAAGTATTCTTCCCTATTACGTACGATGATGAAATTGAAGGTGTCATTCAAATTGCACGAGATCCAAAATCTGCCGGATACGAATTCATAGAAAACGAAACATTAGAATTTTGCATGTCTAAACTAAAGATATACTCGCATTCTATCTTCAAAAATCTCACAGTTTTCGATAAAATTGTTTCATTGTTTACAATCAATAATAAAACAGATCCAACAGTCATTCTTCAAGAGCAATTCAACTGTAAGTACGCAGATGTTTACCAATTCGACATGCTAAGGAAAGCCGTAAGAATAATGGAACATGAAACAATTACAATGCGACCAATTGAAGAACCATTTCATGGAATCGTTTCTTACAGTGCACATTCGAACGAGAACATTAACACTGATGATATTACCTCTCATTCCGCTTATAATAAGAATATTGATTCAGAAATGAAAGGATCGTTTCTATGTGTCCAAGAAGAAGTGTCCTCTCACAAAATATGGGTTATTGTGTTAAGAGAAAAGCTAAATCGCGAGTTCACAACAACAGATGAAGAAACTCTTCAAGCGATACTACCTATTGTTGTTAAAGCAATTAAAGGCTTTAATGAGACCAAGAAAACATCAAATATTGATTCGAGAAAGGCAGATTTATACAATTTAATTACGTTGATTTCAAAGTTTAAGAAATCAGTAATAAATATAGGCAGGAAGATAGAAGAAGCCATAAAACTACTGATTGAAGCTGATTCTGCAATTTTCTTTTATTTTGACGAGAAAAATAATAAATTTTATTCAAAATTTAACAATGAAAGGCCAATTGCTACAGATACAGATCTAGGCCTTGTTTCATACATCTTTGCAAGAAGAGAAGCGGTTTATTACAAAAATCCATCAGAGAATACAAAATATTTACCGAAAATTGATTCATATCCAGGTTATGAGAACAAATGCACCATCGGAATAACAGTCTGCGATACAAGAGGTAAAGCTATTGGTGTTATAATGGGAATTGGCAATCCTGCAGAACAATTTGACGATGATGACAAAAAACTATTATCTGCTTATGCTATATTCTGTGGAATAGCTCTCGAGAACATGTCCTATAAAACAGGGCATTTTAAATTCATTGAAATAATAGAAAAAACGATATCTCAGCCAAATGAACAAAATCTCAAAGAATTTGTTTTATCAGCTATTCAATGTGCTCCAATAAGAAGAGTAGCATTGTATACCACAGCTGCTTCTGATGATATTGGCAGTTTAAACAAATTATATTCTTTTGGAATGAAAAGTCAGATCGGAGAAGGAAAACTAGCAGAGACATGCTTAAAAGAAAAGAAAGAGATAATATATGACCACTCAAAACTCATAGAAAATGGCTTTATTGTCTTGGGATCCAATATAATCACTTCAAACTACTCAATTAAAGCATTATTTGGTTTGAAAACAAGTCAGCCCAAATCAGCAACAAGTCCTGATGAAGTCCGAATCATCGTTCGCCCTATTATCGATAAAAACAACAATATGTGCATCGGAGTTTTGGAAATTGAGTACCTTGGCCAAGAAAACAAGATATTAATGGGACTTGTTGACTGTATAGAAGTGATTACCTTCAGACATATCAAGTCTTTGACCACTCCGATAGTTGTCATTTCAGATGATGTCGAAACACAAAGTATTTCAGTAATTGCGAGCCAGGACAAACAGCATCTGTTCAGTCTAGATTTCAATGCTTCATTCCTTACAGAAGCAGAAATCACTCGTACAATATTTTCTTTGATCGAATCTTTCGGATTGATCGGAAATTTATCGATTGACGCAATCCAAATGCAAGGATTCTTAAATGACGTGATGTCTTTATCAGGGAAACACTGTTGCTACGTAATGGATATCGTACAAGGCTGTTCTGTGATGCTCAAACTCTCAAAATATGATTCTTTGACATCAAAACATATGGTTTTGGCACTTTTTTACTCACTTTTATTCCATAAATTGCAGAAAATAGACATGTTGAGATTGCTTACTAAATGGCAGGTGACTGGGCTTGTCGAGAAGTCCGCACAGAGCAGCTTCATGAAGAATGTCATTAAATTCGTGACTTCGATTTCGATGAAAAATTTCCAAGATTTGAGACAAAAATCTTTGCAAATTTTGACATCGGGAGAATTCGATCCGACAGAGTCAGAGTCACATAGATTCATGCTATTTACTATAATAGGCGTTACATCTGTCTGTTTTTGCTGTGCAAGACCGCAATTCAACAAATCTAATTTCGAAAACGTCTACAGAGAGTACTGCGAAACATTTGACACAGTTACTGACCAACAAACTGTTCTTTCCACTGCAGTTCTCCCATTATTCAGTATTTTGGCAAAAGCTGCTCCTCCTTTGGCGAATTTCGCTTCAAACGCTTTGAATAACTCAAAGAGAATACATTAATATTTATGAATCTTATTTTATCATGTGAATAAAGTTTTGTTTGTATCTTTAACGTGAAAAATATGAATTTCTTTTTAATTACTTAATAACTTCTATTGTTTTCACTCAATTTATATTATAATGATCTAATGTAAATAAAAAATGTTGATTTATAAATGATAATTCAAGATTAATTTTTAGATGAATAATAATCATTAAAACTAAAGGCAACATATGAAGAATTCAACAATCCTGAAGGCAAAAAATTGTATGTATAGTAATAAAATGAAAAATTTTAACTTAAATTTAAATATGAAATAATTTTAGATGAAATAAACCAAAGATATATAAATGATAATGGATAAAAGCCTTTTAATCTTTTCTGAAAATAACATTATGATGGTATTTATTTTCCATCATATTTTGTGTTCAAGAAAATGTAGGATTTTTCGAGGGTTGTCGTGATATCATTATTTTTCAAAACGATATCAACAGTCTGTCCCTTCAAACTGTCTTTTCCTTCACCTAATTTGCAAAGAATCATCTTGTCATTCATGTGAACTGGTTTGCAGTCGACACCGCCAACTGCTATAGTCAGATTTGAGTACTGTTTGTAGCCTTGGCCGTTGAATTGAATGATATTCTTTCCTTGATAGGTTCCTCTGTCTGGAATGATTTCATTTACAAGTATCGTTGGTTCTCTTTTATTTGTCTTGATGGTGCACACTGATCTTGCTGGCGGACAAATGATGTAACCTGGATATCCTGGAATTGAAAGTTTATCTCCATCATTTTGGCATGTATAACGTTTATCTTTGTATATAATAGCCAGTTTGTTATCGCTGAGGCACTCCGCTTTCATGCATTTTGGAGAATAAGAAATAGATTCCGTAATTGAAGCAGATAAGGACATTACGCATATAGAACTATCACTGTACTCCTCGCCAATGTCCTTGCCATCTGCTGGTTCCTCGTTGCAAGGCCTGTAAGGAGAGTAAGTTGGAGCCAAATCTAAAGTACTTTCGTTAATAACGAGCGAAGTTTCAGATGGGTAGTACCAGAAATGGTTCCTTTCCTGAACAATTGGTCGATCATCTGCATTTACCTTGTAAAAATCTTCGACTGAAATAAGATCGCAGACTGCCTTGTATAAATTGCCTGGGAAGCATGTGGTGGCGCCGTTCTTGCATAGGTATGATGGTGGATACGCTATATATGCTGGGTTGTCAAGTAATTTCTCATTTTGTATTTCTGTAGTTTGAACAAGGGTTAAATCGAGATATGGAAGAAGTTCCATGCGGGAATTCATTAGATTTTCATCGGGAATTGTGTACCAACCGGAATCTAAGAGAGATAAGAAGAATATCGGGGAAATGTAGGCTGGACCGTATGTAACGCCTTGCATTAGATCTGTGAAGTAAAGCCTGGCATTTGGATGGGAATTCACTGTACCTTCACCACCGTCATCTTCTAATTCAAGTCCAAAATCGTCGTATTTAGAACTGTGAACGAAGAAACGGGAATGAACCCATTCCTTAAGACGTGGCGTAATGAGAAATGTCTGAGTGATATTATATTTTTCATTTACAATAGATTTTCTGACCTTATCTTGGTCATATCCGATCCATTTTTCGAAATTGGATGATGAGAATGAAAGGACATGCTGTAATTCATGAAGAATTGTCGTAATTAAATCTCTGTGCGAACTATTGAGATACTGGACTGTGATGTTTCTGTTACTATTAATTTTGATGTAGCCAGCGTAAGGTCTTTTACTTTGAGTACGACAATCATCAATAGCTGCTGCTTGCGCTAGGGTAGAACCGTTTAGTGCTGCTGGCTTCACGAGAATGTACAAATCAACATCTTCTGGTAAATTACTTGGAACACTATTACATTTACCACCGCAGACAGAATGCGACTTAAGGCTGGCTAATGAAGTAGAATTCTGAACTTCTGAAGTATCAATATTCAAAAAGCTCAAAAAGCTTTTGATATCATCGAACATCTTATCAAGGTTTTCCTTTTGATCTCGTTCGAATTGGTCTGTGTTAAAATGAATTCTTAGCATTTGATTTAAGCCAGTTCTTGTAATTTCAGTTTCTCCGAGGGTTTTTCTGCGCAAATTTTCTGGCTGTTGAGATCTTAGATCTTGTCTTTCGTAATAATCATGCATACATACATGTTTTTGTATTACACAAAGAAGTCCAAGAATCCAAAGCATTTTATTATGAGCGAGTTTTTGTGAGAGGAACTTTTATGAAAAATAGTCGGAATTGGATTATTTCTGAGCTTATTAATAACGCATTGCTTACAAAACATAATAACTTCAATTTTTATTAAAATCTTATGTTCTTCTCAATATTTGAAAACTTGAAATTTTTTTTGAGGCAGGGCAACGATAGAAAATTTTTGGAAAAAAAGTTCGGGGATCTTAAACGTATCATATTCCCTGTATGGTTTGGTATCTTCCGCCATGCGTTGTGCCAAACATATTGACACTTTCCAATAATTAATTTATGGTATGAGTCACAGAGTTAGATTATAAAAAGAAAGTAAATAATTGCAATTAGAAATCATATATGTCGGAAATCAAAAGTTGATGAACAGAAACCTTTTACTCATCATAAAAGAGATAAATCACTAAAGATTTGTATACATTAAAATTTGATATTTGGTGCTCGAAAACTGTCTTATGGGACTCCTCCAAAATGAACCAATCTATCGCTGAGTACCAAATTAAATGATGTGGATGATGTATTCTCTAATTCTAACTTAGGAAGAAGAGGAACAAAACGAATGTCGACAACAACATGTAAAACATAGATTAAATATCTATGAATCAATAAAGTATACGTATGTTGAAGGTGACAACGATCACCTGAGGCTTATAACTCTTTGACTAAATAATGCAATAATTAAATATAATGATTTTTATATTTTTATACTAATAGTAATTAATATACTATCCTGCTTAATAAATGGTATGATCAAATTTGTTTGAAATTTTAATTAAGTATATTAAACTGTATCTTCTATATAAAAATCAAAATTTTTGGACGAACCTAGTTTGAACCTTTATGAAAATCTATCATTTTGGTTAATTGAGTTAATATTAAACTTTTATATATGTATATATAACATTGATTGCTTATATGATCATGGTTTATTCCATATTAACAGATTTTTTCAGTGAAATTTGATAATAATATCAATGAACATATTAAATTCAAGATTAGAATGTCTATAAAATGCTACCAAATAAGAATAAAATACGATCTATTGACTTAAATTTTAATATGGAGTAGTTTTTCGTTTAAATCTAATCTAAATATGAATAAAAACTTATCTTGTACTATTTTCATTCAAGTATTTTACTAATGTAAATCATTTATTATCATAATTCAGTACAGTTTCTTTTAGAATTAAAGTAAATGAGGATGATATTTGTGAATTAAAATAATTTTTTAATGTTCACCTTTTATTCATCACTTTGTGGTATGTATAAAGTGAAAGCATTATCAAATCTTCTGAATTGATCAACTCAAAATTCCAAAAAAAATTCAAAAATTCAAAAATGAAAATAAACAATTTAAATTTTCACATGAAAAAATCAATTTTGAAAAAAATTTGGAAAATCAAAGTATCTTATAATTAGTCAAATAATCAATTAACCTCGTTTTTACTCATAAAAAACAACTCATTTTTGATTTTGATATCATATTTGATAAAAACCCATTCCAGAGTTGATGTAATGTCATAATTATTGCTAGAAATATTGTTTTTGCAACAAAATTCTTATTTTATGAAAGTAAAAAAATAATGATTTTATTCCAACAACAACAAGTAAACATATGAATGGAAAGGTACTAAATTCACATGAATGTAGTAATCAACGCATCAGCTTTAGTTTTTAATGTTCGAGCCAAAATGTAATAACTTGTAATAAGAAATATCTGAAAATTATATTAAGTACTGTGCATGCTATGCAGAAATATTTGTGATTCATTACCAACTGATATAATAAAGCTGCTTTTTTTCTGACTTTATTTCAATAATTTTCTCGGATTTTAATAACTTTTTATGTATACGAGTTTTGCAAATATGCATCATAAGATGCATAAATTTACATATTTACGAGGAATCATTTCGTTGCATTTTGGAGGTAGTAAATTTTGATTTTTTAATATGGGGCTTTAGTAGGTATAATAATGATCTTATCTCAATGTAGGAGTACTGGTGCAATATGATTAAAATTAATGAGGCTAATCTTAAATTGAATAATTCTGGAGAATAACTCACAATGCAACTAATTCTTTAAATAAGGTAGATGCAGATTGTAGTGATCAATTAGGGAGTACTAGTTAATTCTTTCATTTCTGTCATATTGAGCAAAAAAGAAGAAAGCATAACCCTAAGAAAAAAAGCAGAAAATTGTCACTTTTCATTGTACGTTAAATTAATTCGCTCGGCGAATGCCGAGCACACGTACTCATCATTCAACATAATATTCTCATTCTTTGGTTATTGTAGTGCCAGACAACACAAGATTTCAAAGAATTGCTTGAGTAATCTTTATATAATTTTAATATTTATCGAGAATTCTATTATCACAATCACATGCATTCACTTATTTCAATTCAGCAACTACAACTATCCATATACAGAAGGAATTTCTGAACTATACGAGTATTAAAGATATAGGAAATGAAATATAACAAAGGGATATTGAGTTTAAGAAGTAAAATAAATAATATATTTAAATTAAAAAAAAATCAGGGTAAGGAATATAAAAAGTAATCCTGGGAGGAATAGGATTTTACAAATCCCTTTACGTGAGAAATTTGATACGCATGTCTCCCAATATGATAGAAAGTTCCGCATTCTTAACTTGAATGTGGAAACTTGACTGACAAGAGTCCATAACAGATTCTTGTCGGTCAAAGTTTTGCAATCACATTCTGATTGCAGAAGATTGTCTCATTCTTGGAGACATAAGTATCAAATTTCTCACGTAAAGGAATTTCTCAAATCTTATTCATCCCAGGATTTCTTTTTATATTATATTATCTGTCATGATATTATAATCTGAGAGATTTCTTTAATATTATATAATACTGGCCAATAATGGTACAACATGATTCTCCATCATATCAGCATTCAAAACATATCTTTATTTTGCCAATTTGCTTAAATTAAGGGTGCTTTTCAAGCGCTAAAGGGGGTCATGAAAAAGTTGCAAAAGTCAAAAATTAAGGGTATATATGCATAACATTTATAGCCATTTGCATGTAGATATATGATTATAAAGATTCATTTATAGATATCCATGATATATTAAAATATTTTAGAATTTTATTTATGAATTGAAAATGGTCTTGACACTTTTTGATTTTTATGGCAGACGAAGATTATAAAAACAGTATTGAGGAACCAAATGATGAAAAATTACAAGCAATTGGCCCATTAAACCAGTATTCAGAGCTGACACATGACGAAAAAGTTTTAGAAGTCTTAGATTTTTTAATTAATCCTCGTATTCAAGTCGACATCAGTGTTGTACAGTTAACATATATTGTACTCAAATACCAACATCAGATAGGTAGCTATAAATTGATACCGTTAGAGTATTTTGAAGATTTTCGTTTTGGATCTAATTTCCTGACTACATTAGAAAATTTTGAAAATAAAAGATTACAGCAACAAAACGCAGATCAATTTAAGGAAAGATGTCACCTTCTATTAAAAATCATATCAATTCTTTCTTTGGATTCTGGATTTGTATCCCAACAACTGCTTGACTTGAATTTCGTAAAGATACTTGCTAATGATTTTCAAGAATGGGTTCCTTTTAAACAATTTCTTCAAATATTATTACACGTTTCAAAGCAATTAATATCTGAAAACTCTGACAACTTGGGTCCGTTTTTAAATGATATATTTGATTCTGATTTCAAATTAAGCTTCGTTGATATTCTAAACGAATATCTTGTGAAAGAGACAGATTATTACATCATTCAAATATGGGATATTTTTTGCGACATTGTTAATCAATTAGATACTTATTCCAATGAAACTGAAGAGGAAAGAAGCTTATATTTTGATCATATTACAGCAGTATTGCAAAATCAAAATTGTACATGTTATACTGCAATAATAACCATTTGGTCATCAATATTCGAACTCTCTGTAATTAGCAACTGGGAATATTCTTCTTTTTTTCATTGAAAATAGGACATGAAAATTTATTATTGTTTATTTTCCAAAATATTACCGCTAGTGACGATAGTTTGTTTTTTTCAATATACAACATTTTAATAAATCATTTTGCAAAATTTAAAGGTGACAATATCATTCCTTTACTAAATCAAATAGATTGGAAAGAAATTCATGGATATATTACTATAGATGAAAGAAGTGACGACTATTTGCATCTCATTAATGAAATATTGGAGAATACGCAGGATTTGTATTTAGCAAACTCAATGATAGTTGAAAACCTATACACATATAATTTTTTAGGCTTATGGCTTGAAAAGTATGAGCAACAAAGCTTAACATGGAAAAACACTTTCAGTAATCTCCTCATTAATGTGTATGATAACAGACATATATGTATATTAAATGCGTTAAATATCAATTTTCATTTGAAAATAATTGATTTGTTCATTCGAGATATTTTGACTGAACTTAATTCAGCAACATCGTTAGTTTTATTCACCAAAATTGTTTTATATTTAGAAACAAGTAATTTTGAATTTTTAAAAGATGTTAAATCATACTTTTTATCACCTGAAATATATCAAATATATCAGGAAAATCAAGAATCATATCTAGAGTATGATTACGATGAACTAGATGAAGCCGACTATAAATTTATAGAAAGCATTTTTTCCAGATTCGATAATCTAATTGAAGAAAAAAAGGAAGATTAATTAGGAAAAAAAACGGTTATGGCCCAACTATTATTAGAGGAAAATTCTTGTCCTCTTTAGATTTCTTCTCATGGATGAACATATATATCACATCTTTTGTTCAACGATGTGTCGATGAAAACAGGAGCGGGGCCATATTTTTTGCAGGTTCAGATTCAAATTCCATACAGATTAAAAATTTATTGCAATCGTTCAATAACGAATCAGTTTTATATGTTTCGGATGCCAAAGCTTGTGAAAAAACTAGTCTTTGGTTTGGAGCAAAACAAAAATTTAAAATTCTACAGCATCAAAAAGGAAAAATGAAAATTTCTGATACTACAAAAGTCATAATTTACGACCGTATCGATCCTACAACAATAACATACACAGATTATATCAAAATCTTGTATGATCCAGTAATTGATTATAGAATAGAGCATTCAATAAGTAGTTTAGCGAATTTGATTAATATGGAGAAAATAAATGAAGCCAGAAAACTGGGAGTTGATAATCTTGAATTCTATTTTGCAATAATCTTCTCTTCCTCAATTGTTTTTTATAATGGATATGATTTTATAACCAGTTATACATTGAGAGTCCCAATGACTCCTGAACAATCAGATTCATTGAATATGATAATTGAGCAGTTCTTTCGAGGATCTCCAATTCAAACAAGTTTGCTTAGAAGACAATTTAACAAATTACGAATGCTCGGAGATGCAAATCCTTTCAAAGATTCTCTTGATGGCTTAGTGAATTACTTTTATAATACAAAAAGGCAATTCCTTATATTTTGTACAGACACAATTATGATTAAATATATCAGCAAGAAATATATGGCATATGATGATTGTTTATGCATAATTTCAGAGTTGTCATATGAAAAAATTCAAATGAGAGATACAATTATTATTCTTGATTCAGAAGGTATTAATATTGACTTTTTGAAGCTCAGAAATGTCAAATTGCGAACATTGGATATATATAGAATTACAATACAAAATACTTTAGATGATATTCAATCCATTTTGGGAATGACAAATTGTTACTGTGATCGATTTAGTTATCAAACATCTGTTGATGAATGTATGAATTATATTCGTATTTTAAAAGATAGTTCTTCAATTCAAATAAAATTTGGTGAACAAAATGATTTCTTAGCGAGTTTTAAGTGGAATTCAATGATTGTGATGTGTCCAAATCTATCCAATCAAAAGTTGTCAGAAATTAAATTACATGGTTTATTTGTAGAAAATCTTGATGATTATTCATTTAAGGCAAAGATGCGCTCTGAAAAAGGAGTAATTGCTAATAAAGAACGCGTCAAAAAGAAACAATTAATTAACGCTCATATGCAAAAGATGAGAGAAAGTAAAAAAAATAAGTCTTTACAGAATCTGAAGGTCTCTAATTCAGACAACACAAAGTTGGAACAACAATCTTCAACAAAAAATCAATTAGCTGAAGCAATTGAGCAACTTTCAGATGCAATGAAAGTAAATGATCCTCAAAGAATTATGATGAGAAAAAGTTCGGAAAATTCCCTTAAACATCCCAAAGGAAGATCATGGGATGTACTATCGAAGTTAGCTGCTATGAAATTATATATGAAATCACCAAAAGGATATAGAGACAATAGAAACAATATAAATGTTCTTCCGTCAGAAAATACAATTAAAACTTTTATGAATCCGATCACTCGTAAGATGAAATTTTATTTAAAAGATATCAGAGGTATACCAGCAATTTTTTCCTTGGTTGCTAATGCATGGGAAGGAAGAAGACCCGAATACTGTCTTGCCATAGATGCTCTGGCTTCTCGTATGTGGGCGAAACTCAATGAAAAAGATCAAAACGGTGGTCTATTTTTATTTTATCTAATGCCTCTGAATAGTAACACTCCGAAGCTACTTATTCATATTATTAGCCATGAAAACGGTATGGTAAACGCCATCCTTCACAAAGTAGTATTAGCTATTAGAGAAATTTCAAAATATGCTATCATAAAATATGTTGCCACCGATAATGACAACGGGTACAATGTGGTCTTAAAACCTTTAATTAAACAAATGCTATCAACAATTAATGATAATATTGAGGATTTCGTTAAGGCTCTAGAAGTATATTCAGCCTCTAAAATACCTTTCTTGCCAGATTGTCCACACTTATTAAAATTATTAAGAAATGTCCTGATTGATCCAACCAAAATAATCTTTGTTTCAATATATTGGGGCCCTATCAAGTTATCTAACTTCCAGAAATATTCAGATTTTTTAGGTAATGCTATTACTGATACTGATGATCGATCTCAAATAGTTGACAAGTCCCCGATTCGAATTTTTTCAATTATAATGTTGTCAAAGTTTCGCTTAGATAATTTGAAAGCAGAAGCACTTTTTGTTACTCCATTTTCTCTTTTTAATGAGGCTATTAGGAATGAGTCAATAACAATTGAAACACGTCTTAGAATGCTAGAAATTTCAATTTATATATTGTATGAAGTAGCATTATTTAATAAACGGAACCACTATTCAAAGAAAATTTCTGATTATCACCCTCAAGATGACAATTCACACATCTTTGCTGGATATCTTTTTGGAAGGCCTGATATTATAAGACGATTTTTTGTCTCTTGTGTAGTTTTTTATAAAGAAATCTCAACAAATAATACTATTAATACTCAACATCTAACGACCTTACCTTTGGAACACTTTAATTCATTGGTAAGGGAATTCATGCACGACCACTATCACATGGAGCACTCAGAAACGGCGTGTGCGCAACTCTTAACAATTTTATTAGTTTCATTGCAGTTAAACCAGAAAATTGCGGACTCCCCGACCTTAGATTCCAGCGGAAGAAAACTAGATCCATCTAAGATGACACAACATGCAGATTTTATTGCTGCTGACAAAACTAAAGGCATTGCTCATGCGCTCTTGAATGAATGTGGCTGGCCTTTTATGTTTGAATCATCAGATATTGCAAAAAACTATATTCAAAAATTTGAGAATTTGATAGAATTCTTATTATGGTTAAATACGCCACTTCCATCGAATGGAATACATTCAAAACAACCTAAATTGCAACATCCTGCTGATTCATTTAATACATTTATTCCTATAATAGAGGAAGCGACAAGTATTGCATCGAGTATGTCAAATGCCAATTTACAAGAACAAATTCCAGGAAATGAAATTCTGACACAAATTAGTAACAATAACATTGTGAATGATTTAAGAACCACATATGAGAATGTAAGCAAAACCACTTGGACATTTCAGCCTTCAATCAACCTAATTCCACTAAGAACTGATTCCAATGATTTGCTCAGTTCTACTTTCCCTGGTATCGAAACAATACGAAGAATTATTCCTAGTATAGATTCAGGAGAATCAAATGCCGAGAGTCATCCTCCAGATATTTCTGACAATACAGTTTCTGGAGAGTCAAATGCCGAGAGTCATCCTCCAGATATTCTTCAGAGAATGCAATCATTTTATCGAGGCCTCAAAAACTATTCGGATACAAGCCATTATAATGTTATATTACAAACATTTGCTCATTGTAGTATAATATATGATTCGCTTCAAGAGTACATTCAATCCACAAGCTTTGTTCCTAATTATATTGAAAAACTATTCAAAATTTTGAAAGAACTTCAATTAACTGAATGTCTCTATAAGATTCCAGTTGAATATCCTGAATTCTTAGAATTAACACAGAAGGATTTTCACGATTCCAATCCATTGATGATTCTTGTTAAGATATTTTATTTACTACCAGATCATATATCTTCTTTGTTTTCAATTGTTTATAGCATTACAAGGAACGATAAGGTTACAAATTATGAGAAAGAAATATTTTTGGAAGTTTCCATTTTTCCTCATACAGATCTTCAGAAACAATTAGATTACCTTCAGAGTCCAAAAGATAGTAATGATGAAGATAAGCCTATTTATGAGCTCACAACTATTCCGCGTTTATTGTTTATTTCAATATCAAGAACAGAATATAACGCAGATCAACAAGGGGAAAGTCATAAAAGCATCACAACTCCAAAGCATTTAATTATCCAATCCCAGACATATCGAATATTCACAATCATTATGAAAAGATTTAATTCATTAAGCAGAAAATATTTCTGCTTAATAGATTTCACACCAGAAGCTGATACCCCAACCTGGTACTCATTTAGAGATGAGGAAAGCAAATTCATTGTTGATGAAAGCGAAGTATTCGATACATCTAAAATGGCAGGAATCTGTGGAGTGACATTTGTGGGGTATATCAAGATACAATGAAGATTCCTGTCATTGCTTAATGATTTCTTGTACTCTCAGAAAATGAAATATTTTTGTTTTGTTATTTATCAATAAACTTTTATAATGCATTTGTTTCCAAGGGTTACCGGCTTATTAAAATAAGCAATCATGAAATAACTTTACATGACATTTGTCAGTAAATGCGATACAAAACTCTCGCATCATGTTTATTTTTATTAACATTATATTCACAATATAGTTGCATGTACTGATAGTATCATGCCATTATTACATATATTGGAGTGTGAATATGTGAATATTCTCAAATCCATGTTATATCAAATCTTATGGCGAACTTAAAATGAATTTTAATTTATCGATGATGTATATTATTATTTATGATATATGGTATGAGCGTGTCTTGCTATCCGTTTGTCGATTGGGTGTATCCACACATATATTCACAAAATAAAACTTCGAAGGAAGAAATAATTCATTAGACAGCATGATATATATATATATAAGTATCATTTAATAAACTGAAGAAGGGTAGAAGAAGCATTAATTACTCAATTTTTTTAGTAATTGAATTAAATTTGAGTATAAAAAAGAGAAATTAAAGCTTTGAAGGGGATATATGACATTATATATCTTGGGATGTTTCAAAATAGAAAATATTGTAAAAATGAAAGCATTTGAGAAAATGTAAGTTAAGACAAAGGGCAAGTTCCCAGTTCTTCACATATGGGTGCAAGGTTTATCACTATTACCATGCACCCATATGTGCAGAGCTGGAAAATGGCGCACTTTTTCTCTTTGATGCGAATGTGCGGAGCAAGTTCCCAGTTCTTCACATATGGGTGCAAGGTCTATCACTATTACCATGCACCCATATCTCCAGAACTCTAGTTCATTCATTTTTTCCTTAATCTCCACATCTTCAATCTCAAACTATTCTATTTTTTAATCTTATCTATGATTATTCCAATATCTCTTGAAAGCTGTTCACAATCCAATTTTCATTTCCCAAATCAACTTTTCATTTTTATTTCATTCGATTATCTGTACTAGATTCATTTTTAATCTTATTTTTCCGTCATAACATCTTTTACAACTCATGTGCAAATTCTTATTTCCCATATAAATCATTAATTAAATTCAATATTCAAACTCCGTTCATGAAATTTTTATAATTCATTTATATACAATATTGTTCCGTACCGAAATGCATCACTAGAAAAAGTGACACTTACTCTTATTTTGCGCGGCAATTTTTCTAAGTTATTTTGTTAAGCTAAATATGTTATATATCAAATCAGCTTTATAAATATTATAGAAAAGTTTATTTTTATTTTTATTTTTAATTATTATTATTATTATTTTTAAAATTAAAAGAAAACATTAGAATTATATGGATATATTTAAATTAATTATAAAAATAAAATTGAATATATTGAAGTTTGAGTTTATAGGTATACAAATTTTAGAGGCATTTTGGCTGAGAACTATGGTCTGCGAGGTACATGGATAGAATCAGTACCTCGCAGACTATAGTTCTCTATATGGCGCCCAAAAAAAAATTATGATTGTTTTTTATCAAATCTTATCCATATTATTCTATTAATGTTAATTATATTTTATCAATTATATTTTTTAAATAATAAACACAAAATCCACTAATTTAAAATTGGCGCCAAATGTCACTTTTGCTAGTGATGCATTTCGGTATGATATACATTTATATACAATATTACATTCTTGGTCATAACAATAATGTCGAGTAATACATGATAATCATATAAGATATATGAAATCAAATTTTCCTAAGTTTAAGATTCTTTTTAATTATAACCTATCATATACATTGTTAATATTAAAATAAATTCTTCTTATTAAAATTCAATGATATTACTTATTCAGTCCAAAAAATCAAATTAGATAAAATTTTCGAATTTTTATAGAATTTTTGTTTTTTATTTTTCTCAAGATCCTAAGTTACGTTCTAACTTTTAACCTCATATCCTATCATGCTAGGCTATATATTATAGTATAGATCCAAGGTGATGTGATTTTTGCATCCCTGGGATGGACGATACACCCAAAGTGTCACCTTTTTGGGATAACATGAATTTTAAATATCATGAGAGTTCTGCAAACCATATGCACAATATCTATTCAGCCTGACTTCTTGTATATATGAGTTAGACTTCTTAAATATTGTGCTTGGGGCGATATAAGCATTTCCGAGATTACCATCGTGCTCTATAGTATGCTACTTCTCCCTGGTTCTAGCTCAGTTCCAAGGATATTGGCGTTCAAGGATTTGGCAAGGTCCTTCCGAAGTCTCTCATTCGATGAGAGATTTCGGAAGAATCTTGCCTTAAAGTACTCCAACTCTTGTTCTTTTGTTCCTAAATAGTGAGAAAAGTTATTTGACTACTTAAGGTAGAGATTATCCGAGGTCCCTCATTTGATGAGAGGCCTCGGATAATCTCTGCCTTAAAATTGTACACTTGTAGTCCATGAGAGTGTAAGTATACATTGATAGGACAGCTTTCTTCTGAAGTCTTAGATTTGATGAGAACCTCAGAAGAAAACTGTCCTATTTTATAGTAAAAGGAGTTTCAGGAGCTCCAAAGCTCCCTTTCGTAAGGATTAGGAGCTTTGGAGCTCCTGGTTCGTAGATGTGTTTCGCATCTTTCATCAGCAAAGGACATTTACCATCTGGGACTCTGTTGATGGAGACTCAGGAGCTCCAAAGCTCCCTTTAGTAAGGATTAGAAGTTTTGAAGCTCCTGGTTCGTAGACGTGTTTCGCATCTTTCATCAGAAGAGGCCCAAATGGTAAATAGCCTCTGCTGATGAGCTTCAGGAGCTCCAAGGCTCCCTCTCGTAACGATTAGGAGCTTTGTAGCTCCTGAAGGTAAGGTAGGATTGCTCTGATCTCTAATCAGTAGATGCCATGCCTCATTATGAACTCTACTGACAAGAGATCAAGAGCTCCAAGGACTCCCTTTTGAGTTAGTGGCGTTCTCACCATTTAGTAGGATTGCTGATCCTACTAATGAAGTGATCACTTAGTATACGTTTTGAATAAATTGAATTTTTTTTAGAATTTAGTATTTTTTATAGACATCACATGTATATTATAAATACATAAATATATTCTTTAATTCAAAAAATTCAATTCGGTTTTGGGATGGGTATCCCAGCACCAAGTATTCAATTTTATTCAATTTTTTAAGAATTTTGGGTTGGGATGCCCAGACCAAAACAAGCTTTATATTTTGATGTGTAGATACGTATGTGTGCATCATTGTTGTGTTATATATTATGTTTTTAATGAAAAAAAAATCTGATTCAAAAAAAATTATCACTAATTAGTTGATAATATAAAGAAAAAATAGATAAATTGTATGTTTTGAGAGTATTTATCCACATTCACTCATATGAATTTCATTAAATAGTGTCTTTTTACTCCAAAATTTATTTTGAATTATTGAAATCAAAGAAAAAAAATCAGAAAAATTTCTCGAAATTTTTATTTTCAAAAAAAATTTGGATTTTATATTGAAAACTGACACTGGGAGGACGATAGGGCTGGGATTGGAGATACCCCGCTCACTTGGGAAAAATACGGATCTATATATTATAGCATATCCAAAAGGCAAGGAAATCTATAAGAGAAGCCTTTTTGGCCTATCGTTGCCCTACCTCTTTTTTTTGAAAATTATTCAACTTTTTGACTCGATTGTGAATAAGAATAATCTCTAATCATGTCTCATTTTTTATATCAGGAACATCCATGTTAAAAATCAATGCGGAACATCTTTCTATTCCAGAAAATTTGCTCAACATTCACCGTAATGACACTGTCTAATCAACAAGAGAGCAACTGCCCTCTTCTGGATTAATGCTTTACCTTCTAAAGAAGATTGTAGAACAATGCCATTCCTGGAGACTTGCCTATCTCACAAAAAAAAAGATTCTTTGGAATTTCTTCTCAAAATCCTTTCGGACTACATGCAAATAATGTAAGAAAACAAATCAAAAGGAACAATTAAACGAAAAAGTGTTTAATAAAAAAAATTCAGAATCCCCTGTTGAAAATAAGATTTTCTAAATGGCTATCTTCAACGTCAAGAAAGAAGATTATACAACTAGGAAATCTTGCATCTCACTCATTGGAAATAGCAGAGTCTGGAGATTCAGTATCAGTGCCAAACTGAGGTCTTTCATCGTCTGATGATGGAGATCCTTGCGGGACTTGATTTGTTTGAGGACGGTTTTGAGTTTGAATAGGAGCCTTGACTACTTGAGTAGGAAGATTGTTATTCATATCAGAGATAAATATGACAGTTTTTCACTTTTTTTTGAATTATTTGAGAAGAAACACGTTACTGATATAAATATGATTTTGCATATTTCAGGCAAGCAGCTTTTCTATGCTGCGAGGGAGAAAGAATTTGTATATTCTTATGGTTTTTTTTTGTTACAGTTCACTTCATTTAATGTCCCCCAAAATAGCTAAAAATTTTAGGGGTTGCTAATGGCAGAAATGTTTTTTTCCCTCATACTTATGTTCTATTTCGATATATTATAAATTTACTACCTTTTTTATATGCCTTCAAAATATGCAATGATCCTTTTTGCACTTTTAACGGTTCTATAGAAAAGAGAAAAGTGACTAAAATTGAATTGGCGAAAAATCAATTTTAATGAGCTTCATTTATTGATTTTTTTCAAAGGATTTTTTTTAAAAAGATCAATGGGCTATTAGCTTATCTTCATTTCGCCCTAACCCTCCATGCTTTTCACCATTCCAACTCAATTTCAGCTCAAATTGCAATTCTAATTTCCCCAGAAATTAGCTAATAGTCTCACACACACCTTCTATTCCATTTACCAATGAAGTTTAACCTATTTCCAACACAACTTTGGGCCATATCCCCAAATATCTTTATTATTTTATTAATTTTCCTCCATTTTGTTTTATTTAAAAAAAAAAAAAAAAAAAAAAAAAAAAAGGGTAGTGGGGCTTCCAGGCACTTCGTGCCTTCTAGCCCTGAGGATGAATGAGTATAATGAAGTTTTTTTTTCTTGGGGTGTCCTTCCAGGCACTTCGTGCCTTCTAGCCCACATAAATGAAGTTTTTATTCGGAGGTCTTCCAGGAGCTTTTCACAAATTATATATGTTTTCATGTTTTGTCAAGACTTCATCGTAAATGTTTTGTCATGATTTCTTCGTAAATGTTTTGTCAAGACTTCTTCGTAAAATCAGACAAAAATATAATTTAGGGTAGATGGGTATATCTAACCTCTTTTCTAACCTCTTTTCTACCCTCTTGAATTTTCAAGACTTCTTCGTCATAGGCACGGAGATAGGACGGTTATTTTACAAAACTGACAACACTTTGACCGAGTAGTTTTTGTGCTGAACAAAAAGTGTCATATAAACATCTGTCAAAAACCGCTTTTTAACTTCACTTAAAATGCCACGTAAGCTACGTAAGAATATACGTAAGAATATACGTAAGAGGAAGGGAGCATTGAAACATCCAATAGTAAAACTAACACCACAACAACAGTTGCAACAACAAATGATGAATGACCCCACTATGTTGCAACAAATGTCAAGCAACCCTATGCTTTTAAACCGAGTTATTGGTGCACAGAGTGGAGGTTTAAGAGCGGCACTTTTAGCGAAAATGGCAGGCTATGGTGGAGCTGCAGACGGAACAGCTTATAACCCTCAAAGTCAAATGAATTTGAGTTCACTCAAAAATCAAATAACAGATGTCAAAAAGTCAAACATAGACATACAGAAACAAATAAGTGAAAACGAAAAAAAACTAGAATATGACAGACACACAAAGAAACTCAATGAGTTAAACGTAGAGAAAAAGAAGAAAGAAGAACAACTGAAAGAACTAAGTACAGAGGAATATGCGAAAAAAGTGTCAGAAAAAGCAGCAGAAGTAGCAAAAATGGAACAAGATGTCATAAATTTGAAAAACCATACTACTCAATATAAAGTACTGAAAGATGAAGAAATAAAACAAAAAGCCCTGAAGACATATATGGATAGCGATGAGTATAAAAAAGAAGTTGAAGCAAATGTAAAGGCAGAAAAACTTTTACAGTTGCAAAACCAAACCGTACAGTATGAAAACTTAGCACAAGAAAGTAAAAATAACGACGCAGCCATGCAAAAGGCAATGAAAAGCGCAGAATATATAAAAGCTAATAATGACTGGTTAGATGCCCAAGCCAACGCCAAAGCAGCCCAACTTATAGGGTCAATAAGGACAAAAATACAAGCGGATGAAGACAGTTCAAATGAAGCTTTAATGAATGCTGACTTTAAGAACGCTTTCGAAGCTCTTCATAGTAAGGTGAAACTAGTGAACGACTTCTCATCTGGAAAGAAACTGAAGTCTGAAGGTTTCGACAACGAGTTAAGAGAAGTAGCACAAAATATGACGAAAATAACAGATGCAGCAACGAGACAGGCAGTTCAAAGTGCCTATGACGCCGTTAGAGCAACTGTTGTGAAAAGTCAAGAAAAAGAGTTACAACAGACCAAAACAGACCTAGTAAATGCTTTCTTAAGAACGAAAAGTCAGGTAGGACATTACGCTGCAGATGGAACATATGTGCCAGCTGGTGGAACTTATATACCACCAAACCCTCCAAGAGAAGCACCTGCACCAGGACTACCTATGACATTTACATCGTCACATGGACACAGACACAGGCATGCACCAAAACCAACACAACAACCAACAGTTCAAAATCCAGCACAACAACAACCACAACCAGCACAGCAACCAACAGTTCAAAATCCAGCACAACAACCAGCACAAACAGAGCAAGGACATAAAAGAAGTAGAGAACAAGGAAACCAAGAATTCTTAAAAATGCTTAAAGAAGAGTGTGGTTTCCCAGATAGTATTGACTTTAGTGACAGATATAAAGAAGCTATTAGAAAGTTCAAGGATGGAAATACTGACCCGAACCTATTTAGCTTTATGGCTCAGCACCAAAACGGATATAATCTCAAACCTGGAAAATACAAGCTCGCTAAGGGATATGATTTAATAGCATATCATCCAAATGACATGGATGAATTTACTCCGAGATATTTGATGTCAGAGCTAAATGACAATTCAACTTTCGTCATGAAACGCGTAAAAAATAGAGACGGAACGAAAGAACAAAAGCTTATGAATGCGGATGACGTAGATAGGGAAATTGTTGAAAACGGTCTCGGAATATATGAAATGCCAGCAGATGAGGTACAAGAAACTCCACAGGAAGAAGTTCAGATACAACCAGACATGGAAGAAATAGTTCAGCAACAACAGCTAGAAGAGCCTGAAGGAAACGAACAAGTCACTCCTTTGGAAACTAACTTCACAGAACTAGATGAAGATTTGGAACAGCCGAAAAATCTTGACCCTCAACAAGAGTATGCGGAGAATATGGAATATTTCCAAGAGTCTAAAAAAAATTCGGCTGACATAGTAGAAGAATATCGAAAAATGTTTGCCGACATACAAAAGACTCCAACACCAGATGAAAATATTCAGCATAGAATGGAAGTACTGAAAGAAAATGTACACAAATACAACAACCCTTTTTACTTACGAGCATTTAACGTTCAATCTTCGGATGAACTCGGTGAAGATAAAAGGTTAAATTTCAAGAAAACATATAGAAATGAAACATTGTTTAAAGTTCATTCAGAACCTAACCAAGATGGAAACAAACCTACTTTTGTTTCTGCAGACGATGGAACTACAATGAGATGGGGTCATAAAGCTAACCCGGATAGGTGGTTCATAAACTTACAACCACAATTCCAAGAAGTTGTAGACGCAATGGAAGTCAATGGTGAACCAGATATAGCTGGTATTTTCAGCGCGGCTTTAATGCCATTGAAAGATATGAAACATGCAGATATTTTGGACCAGTATGAAATGAACATGGCTGATGGAAATATAACACCTGACGTTCTAAAACATTTATCTCAAAGAACTACACAGAACCATAGAGATGGTATATTTGGTGAAGAGTTTAGAAAGAAAGTTAGGGAGATAGAAGGAAGAGAACCTATTGTACATGACCTTGCAAACGAAAGTTTGCAAAATGTCATAAAAACTTACTTTGCAGGCGATGAATCGAGAAGGGATGAATATTTAAGAAAACTCAAATGGACAGTACCAAATGAAATGTTAGTATTGAAAAACATGTTCCTTGACAAAATAAAACCAACTACAGAAATAAACGACGCAAGACTGAAAGATTGGGTAGAAGCTTTCCCATTCACAAAAGATATAGTTGGTAACATGGAAAGAAAACCAGAATGGCTACAAAAACATATATTTGGAAACGAGCATATTCCATATGGACAGGCACTGTTTGAAGAGCTTGAACCGGAAACTCAGGAAAGAGTCATGCAAACAATACGCGAAGACTCAAATACAGACTATGACAAACTCTTTCTAGGATATAGGTTACCTGAGATGGGCGACCAGAGCCAAAAGGCAAAAAGGACATGGGAAATTTGCAACATACTAGATGAACATAATGCAAAGATGCAACAACTTCAAGCAGAGGGCAATGAAGGAAAAAGAAGAGTTAAAAACTCAGTCAGGAAGAAAGTAAAGCTTGGTCCACGTGGGTTCTATTATGACATATAAATCCAACTATTCTATATTTTTACTCATATGAAATGTACGCCGCTCAGAATATAACGCCAACAGTTTTGGATGCTATGAATGGAAATGTTTCCGAATGGTATAACGAATGCGACAATGCCATTAGAAGGTCAGAAATAGTTCCTGGAACTTACGAATATACAACTGCTGTTTCTTATGGAAACGTAGGTGAGTTTGGAGAAGGTTCTTCAACAACAGTAGATATTGCTTGCGACAGGTTTCATATAATTTCTATTGACAACTCATTCTTATACGTGGAACAAGACATTGAAATAAACCTTCTGCCAAGTTGTCTGACAAGAAAGGTTGCAATGGAATTTTCTATGTCGGATACCAATATGCTCCAGAAGTTTTCATGGGATATAAGATATATTCTAACTCTGACTTAGTTCAAACAGTAACATGGGCAAACTATGAATGGTTCGCTTTGAGAAACTCAGTACAACCACAAGCTAGAGAACAAACAGACCAGTATGCAACTATTGAGAAAATAAGAAGACTTGACCCTAACGTTCCAGGAGTTTATGTTGACCTTTCTGGACAAAATGCAGCAGCAGTAACCAAAGTAAAATTGAAACTTAGAGTTCCTTTGTCATCTTTCCTCATCTTCAGGTTT